ATAATATTAAAAAAACACAAGTCACATTCTCAATTTCCTCAAGAACTTTAATACAACAAAGATACACGTTAGACACTTTAAAAGAGACCAGTACAACAATTTGGCAAATGAGTTCGGATGGCAGTTATAAATCTGACCAAATTGCCCATGAGATTCCCCACGGGCACCCATAGTAATTGTAGGGCGCAAGCAGCAATTTTAGGAAGCCCAATTTAATGAAAGACCACAACAATATAATTAGAAAATCACTACTCATCTATCTTTTCAGAACTTACTTTCAAACCAGATTTTGTTCATCCAAGATAAAATGGAAATCCTTTCTGTGATCCATTAAGTGTATTTAAAAACTGTGTAAACAGTTTTGTAAAAAGGAAATACTAGTGAATAGTGGATTTAATGTGAAAAGAGTTTAGATATTCAGAACAAAAAGTATATTTAATTTTTACCACATTCTGTAATGACCTGCTTCTAAAATGATTAAATATCAATAAAAGATGGCGTGTATGAAGGGATGAGGGAAGGCGGCCAATACTGAGAATCACAACACTATAATATATAGACTTGTGGTATTAGATTGATCAAACGATACGTTTCTGTTTCTTAACAAAAATTTAAAACTGACAAGAAAACAACCAGGTCAGAAATTCTAACCCATTTAATACCCCTGCCGCAGCAAACCTGCAGACTAAGTGAATTTCCATTTGCCTGAATTGATACAAATTTATTTAAATAACATTAGGTGTTAAACGAGTACCTAGGTTTGCTGCTACAGGGAGGATAATAAAGTGTGTTTTTAGTAAAATATTAATAGCTTAGCATAAAATGAATAAATTTACCACGTTTGATCAAAATATATCGATAAACAAGCAAACTACAACATTTTACAATATTCCCCATAAGAAAAACATGGGAATTTTAAATTCACAACTTTTTGAATTTTCTTAGTAGGTAACCAATAACCGCATAAAAACACTTCAATGTACTGATTTATTTGTCTTTTAAAGCTCTTTAAAATGGACTAGAGATAAATTTGGAAATTTTGTGTTTTTACGGTCAAAAATGAGAAAACCCAATTTTTACCCCACAAATATCCCCGTAAAACCCCGTTCCCATCGTCCGATCATACTGGTTCACGAACTCATTCAAGTTTATCCCGCCTTACACCTTCAAACCAAATTTCATCAAAATCGAACATAAATTACTCAATTTATCACGTTTCCAGACACATGTATATTTATATATCTCTATACAGATAATATATATATACATATATAAAAACTTGAACAAATAGAATTTTTGGCCTCTGGGGACATCAAAATAAAAAAATTAATCAGTCCTGGGCTCAAATCTTACCATGAGACCTACGGTAATAGCTACTTCCCTATAGGGAAATTCGCTAAAAGTTAGTTTGTTGTAAATGAAATTGCCAACATATTATTTAACTTTACTATGTGAATTTGATTACACAATGTAAGGTTTATCATAGACAAATTGAGAACTTATGTGACAGTAAAATATTCATAAAATTCTGATAGTTGCTTAGGTACTGTATTATATTTTGCTCACAATATTTAGGCGGTTTAGGGTAAGAAATATATCCCCTCCACTTGACCCTTACCGGCCTTACCTTTAAAATAATAGCTGAACAGCTGATTAAGCAAAGTACATTATGTACAAAAATGTGGTGGGGGACTTCCCCTTAAACCGCCTAAATATTGTAAACTGAGTATAATTATTGGTTTAATTATTCTTACAAGAATGAAAACCTGAAGTACATTTTAATAGTTGATTTCCATCTCTTGCCTTACATGTATGCAAATCCAAACGTACAGGAAAACGTAATAATGAGCTGACAAGCGATTTTTTACTTTCTATGGAGGAACAACTTTCAATCTACTAATCCAACGTGAAGTTGATTGGCTGCAGGAAATTATTGTGGTGAGGATTTTAATCATGCGTATAAGTGTTACAATAACAAATTATAATAATATATTGATATTGCAAACCTACTTTCTTTGCTTCTTAGCACTTGAAGCATTGTTCTCAGTAAATATTGCCCCCTATTCTGCCTCCAAAGACTCAAACAGATAATGGTGAGTGCAAATTCTAACTAAATTTATAAGTATTTGTGTTGCAATTTAACAAAAATCAGCCTTATGAAGGTCACACCTTTCTAAGACCAACTATATCTATAGTCTCCGGAGAAATGCATATGAATTGTACTATGCCTTATCAACTAGGGATTTTGTAATTTTAATCTTTGTTATGTATTTTTTTATAGTTAGAACCACAGAGAAGTGTACATAGGAAACTTGCTTGGACGACCATGCTGTGCATACACTATGCGGAAGTTCCTATCTCACAGTGCCTTCTTCCAAAGTGAGCGTTGTAGTACATGAGGCGTGTGAGGGATTAGGAGAAGCACGGAGTTTGATTTTACCCTAGACACCAACAGCAACTAGTGCTAGACACCAATTAAGTGTACCTTGAATGTTTCCTCTGTACCTTACTTCTCTGTGTTAGAACGTTAGAACCTAGCTATCATCTTGGCAATTGATCACAATTTTCTCCAAAAACTGTGATAGTAAAAATTCTCCAGCTAATTCCAAAGAGACCAAGAGCTAAACAAATCTTTTTGCACTTTAATAAGTTTTATACTGGCTGTCAGTCCAACACACTCCTCCCTCTGAATGAATAACCTTGTGTCACCTGGTAGTGAATGTATTTTGTTGAACAGAAAATGAATAAGACGTACGATCTTCCTAGAACCAAGGCTCTCGTATCTCAAAAACAATAAACAAAAACTACAGTGCTTGGGATGGTTAGTTTATGGTATCCAGGCAACAATGAAAGTATGTGAATGAAACCTGTTGAATTTATTTGCTGACATATTATCTGTAAACGTTTAACTATAAAAATACTACAAGATCGCTCCACTCATCCTACACTCATCTTCATTCATACTTGGCTTAAAATACCTACTTTGCATGGTCGTCATTTCAAAAGTATTATGAAAGTATATAATTGTAAATATCCAGCTCATATTCATGACCAAAAGTAATAGTGATTTTCAGTCATATCCTTATCCTGCACAACACTAGTCAATGGCCAAGAACTAAGAAGTCTTCTCAGACAGGAGACATCACTGTATGTTGAGGGTTCAACTCCTGCTCCAGTCAGTTCTGGGCAACCCATGAGAAGTCTACCTGTATGAGTACCAGCCATCACTGTGTGTGTAGTAGGGATGAGCATCGATAGGCCACCAACATCGCTAAAACCTCTTGCCCCCCTGGGCCCATTTACCAAATCAGCCCTGAGTAAGTAGACTTTTGGCCTGATGGAAGGAAAATATTCAGCAGTTGCACATTGAACAAAGCACTTTAAGTATATTAATTAACACCTATTAATGATTGAGTTAGTGGAAATCAGCAGAAAAAGTGTTACACAAGTAAGAACTAACTAGGTTTACAATGCAGTTATCTCCTTGCAACATTGAGCCTAGCATATTAATACAATACTTTTCTAAAGTATCGTTAGAAGTACATAGAAGCATAGATAAAACATACTCCCTTATGGAACAGCTGAAGCCAATTTTACTGTTAGTTCTGTCCGGTGTACTGTAGAGTCGTGTTTTGTTTACATTTCGTTTCTTGCTATTTCAGTAATCTAAATCCTTAACCAAATAAAACTATCTAATCGCAAACAATAATTTGTCCACTATATAAGAAACTGACCCTAAAACAAAATAAACAAATTGTAAACAAAACACGACTCTACAGTACACCGGACAGAACTAACAGTGAAATTGGCTTCAGCTGTTCCATAAGGATGGGAAACTACTAAGGGAGTATGTTTTATCTATGGTTTTATCTATGATAGAAGTACCATTGTATATTAGGCTAATACAATACTTTTCTAAAAGTCTCAAGAAAGTACATCTGTTTCTCGAAAATGAGATATATACACTTTCAGTATCCAATAACAACTGATACTGCCTATTTGCAGTATCCAAACTCAATGGTTCACATTAATGGAATTACTACTTTCAGTACCTATTCAAAATCTGCATTAATGGAACGTCTAGTTCACAGAAATTTAAAGTCTACTTGCAGTATCCAAACTTAATGGTAGGCCTATATTTTTACTGTTTTATTGTAAAATTATCGGATCTAAAATGCATATCGTATAGGCCTATAATCGGATGAAAGAAAAAGGTGGTCACGTGATTGTCTACAAGATGATTTCCCCTATTAAAACTGCCACAGTTTTTCTCTATGCGTTTAAACTTAGCCGTTTTCAATTATATCCAGTTTTAATCGGCTACTTTGCTACTTTATTCCCGTACATAGGACGGGCACACAGCTAGTTTTGTAGTAAATTATGCTCAATGATATTAATCTTATTGTTCTACCCCTTTTCTCTGTATGGTATTTGTAATGTGCTATTTTAGATTATTCGTTACCTAACATATGTTGTGACTCTTGTTTACCGTTTTATTGTTATCTCGCAAATAATGTCATGGCAACCAATTAACCCATAAGGCCCATGTTAAATTTCTAAAACTTTAAATTCACGTAGGGAAAAGCCCTGTGGTCCGATTTGTACCATTCAGATTTATACCTTCCCATGGTTGGTTACTATGACTGGGCTGAATTTCGTGCAGATCGCTTCAGCCGTTCAGGAGGAGTATTTGTAGAACAAAAACAGGAGTGTAGTATAAAAGACATAACTCAATAACATCACTTAACACAAGGCACACCAACACTGTATTACCAATACCATTGAACCTACTCTAAATCAGGAGTATGATAAAAATTATTGTGATGATAAAGCACATGCTAGTACAACATTGCATAATTCTATTATGGCTAATACAGATGCATCTTGAAGTGATATTACTGATGGTAATCAACTGTATTTGTTAAGGTATTTACAAATAATTCCAAAATGGCTAAGCAATGGATAATCTGGGTTATTGAAAGGAATGATAATGGCCGAAATTAAGTTTTCAATAGATTTTATTATCTATTTTACAATAAAACAAAAATTACAAAAATGTGATGAATAATAGTATGCCTAATAACATTAAAAATAGATTCAGTATCAAAATAACAAAAAATGCTAATTAAATGATAAAAATTAGGAAGCTGTAACGCAAATTATATAAAAAACATGTAGAGTTTCAAAATGCATTGAATCAATCAAAAACGTACATTCATTATTTCAGTTAAACACTTAATAGTACAATGCTATAAATATAGTTCTTATATTCGAAATGCCACCTGAAGTCTGAATATATCCTAGTCATCTAACCAACACTTCTACATTGTACATGACAATTTTATTACCGGTACATATATATAGAGGAACTCACTAATTCTTAAGTTTGAAAGAAAAAACATTTCAAATCTCAACATCTAAACATTAACTAAAACATAATAAATATTCGTAATTTATTCAACAATAGCTATTTGAAATATTCTACTTGAATGTATGATATAATAAGTGTAAACTATGAATAAAAATCACCTTTAACGTTAGAACCCCTCATAATACTTGGATGTTGGACCACATTTAACACAAATGCATAAAAATTAGCAAAACACACAACAAAATGAGGCTACAGTATGCTGAAAGACAAAATACTATGAGAAGAGTTTTTGACTCAAGTAAAAAAAGATGCTTAGGTGGAAACTGAAACACAGTTAAATGGTTGAATATTCTGGTCATTCAGATGACTCTATAAATCCTTGGTCGGATAGCGAGGAGCTCTAGCCATTGAAATGGATTCAAGTAAATGGAAAATTTAACTTTCATGCAATCTTTGATGCCTCCAGTACACTCTCGCCGAGACGCTCGCCGAGTAATTCAGGCAAGAACTTATACGAGGTAACTGTGTACACTCTCGCTTTGTCTAGCAGTCAAAATGGAGGCAAACGATGTGGAAGTAGCGCTCGCCACTCGTGCAGTCTCGGGTCCTTTGACTCGTGTCAAAAATCCGACTCCTGACGGAGTGCCAACGAGCACGAGGCTAGGCAAGGCGAGGCGACCCGAGTCAAGGCGAGAGAAGACGAGCGCACCGAGTACACTCTTGCATTAGCCAACGCTCGCCTCGCCTCTGCGAGAGTGTACTGGGGGCATGAAAACGATAACCAAAAGAAATAGTTCTAATGTAAAAACTCAAATTCAACACTTATTATCTGATTATTGCTTAGTACTTGTAAAATCACAGTCAACTATAAAGATGGACATCGAACAAGCACCGATTGGAAGACGGAACTTTATATACAACACTGGAATGAGTAAAAATGTATAAGCACATAAAAATATTAACATATTGCAACTTTTGTAACTAAGTCTTTGATTAAACCATAAACGACCTTGCTGAGAACTTATTTATAACTGTGATCACATAAAATGATTTGTAAATCTGATGTTACAACAGAGTTTACAACAATGTGTTTAAAACACAGAATGATGTAAACAAAAGTCTAAAACATTTTGTTGTCTAAATGTTTGGAAAAATTGTTGTTAGGAAGTTTGTAAACTTGATATCAATTTAATCAATAATAGAGTTTTGACTTTAATAACTTTACCGTGTAATAAAGTGTTTATGCGTGTTTTATATTTGCAGTCTCTATAATTCAGAATTTTAGATGTGTCTTTTTCATTGGTATTTTTTGCACTTTTAACAAATATTTGTTGACACTATAAACTCAGATGTGAGAGTTTAGATAAACAATATTTTCCTGGATTTTATGGATTTTATAAAAGTAATATTTATAATGAGTTACCAAAACAGAGAAATGTGAATTCACTTACTTGGAGGCTTCTAAACAACAAACCTACAAAACATAAAAAAAACATTGTGTGCAAAAATTAAATACCTATGAAACGATGAATTTAAAACATGTAAAATCTAACAAATAATATCAAACTATCTCAAAATTAACAATCGTAACGCAATGAGGAACATATTGAGTGAAGAGTCAAATAACCAAGCAGTAGCCTACCAATCATATTTCACCATTTATAATATTCTAGTAATTCAAATACTTAATGTAGGAAAATCTTGTTAGAGTATTATTTTGAACAAAAATTGTCATTACGTAAGCATAGCAATAGAAAAGACACCGAACTTTAAATTACACTACCTATTAAACAAAATTTAAAACTAAAATCTGTAAAATTCAGTAGCTATACTGACGTAGAAAGAAACAACAAATCAAAATAATCTAACATTAACAACAATTTAAGTACCCTAATTATTCTTCAAGATTATGTGATTAAATATTTTCACTTTGGCGTAAAATTGAGCGGCACAAAGAGGTAGTAAGACCCCAAGTGATGCATTTTAAGCTAACAATAACAATCGGCAAGGAAATTGACAACCTTTTATCTTACGTTTTAGTTAAAAAAACAACCTTTACACAAACTAAACATATGATATTCAGAATACAACACTGACAAAAGGTTGCAAATTGATTGAACAAATTATTACTTTAAAAACTTAAGTAAAATCAGTGGTACATAAGTAATTTTTCATTGACATATGTTTGCTTTGTTTACACCCCAACAATTAGATAAACCAGTTCAAAAGTAGTAACAACGTCCGATTCACAAGTTCAGAGAGCAAATCCCACATGATTGTTGAGTGCAGGGAGGATGGGAGGTTTCATCTGTAGTCTTCTCTAGCAGTAGTCGATGTACAGGAGCACTGGTCATATACAGGGTGTGCCAAGATGTAGGATACTGCAGTAGTGGTGGAGGATTGTCTCCAGCCACTGGACCTGTGTGGCATACACTACCTCCCAACCTACCTCCACCTATCACTCCACCACTCCCCTCCACTCACATCACCTATAGACAGACAATCAGTTGTAGTTATATACAGTAGAGGTGGAGGATTGACCCCGTATGCGTGTACTAGCAAAATCCCTCTTGCTTGGCCACCATCTGAAAAGAGACTTGATGACTGACCTCGCAGCTGACTTACACAATGCAAAACTTCTCCGTTGTAAAACTTGTTTATTTGCTATGGGAGCTCTATTGAGATTTTAATTCACAGATAGCCCTCAACAAACTATGTAGTTCAGGCCAGGGCCCGGGGCAGGTTTTTTTTCAGGCCCCACCCAAAAAACCCCATCCCCACCCAAAACAGGGTTGCGTGGCTGTCTGGGATACCAATTTACGTGAGACATAATCATCGTTTTCCACAATTGCAGCAAAATCCTGAATACCCCCGGGTCACAAAAAATTCCTTCCTCTTAAGTGATAGCAGTAAAATCCTGAATATATCCATCGGTAACAGGAATATTAATCATTTTCCTCCACAATCATGGTCAAATCGAGATTACCTTCTGCAGTTCTATGGACATCATCATTGTCTTATGTGATTTTGACAAAATCCTTAATATATATTTATTGATAGCGGAAATATAGTCACCATACGATATCCGCGATAGTGGCAAAATCATACTATTCTCTGCAATTGTGTCAATTGGTCTTCTGCAATTGCGGAAAAAGATTATCTCCTGCGGTCGTACATTTTATCATCACCGTCTGCCGCGAACGCGAAAAAATCCTAAATATCTCCTGCTGCCATGAAAACATCATCATCGTTTTCTGCGCCCAAGGCAAAATCCTGTATATCTCCTCTGGTAACTTAAATATAATCATCATCCTCCGCAATCGGCGCCAAATATTGACCATCCGCAACAGTCTCACAACATGATCTTCCACGATCACAGAAATGTTAAAAGCTCGAGCTAGATATTTTGACTTGGCGCTTGATCCCTCGAGCTTATACACTAGGTTCTGCTTGGTATAAAAATCTAGCCGCTCACACACTTAATACTATTTACGTCTATTTTTTTTAAACGTCTGGCCTACTTTTACCGTGGGACCCCCTAAAGCTGCAGCTTCCGAGGGGCCCTTCCCTCGCGCACCCGCCCCGGATCCCTACCCACGCGATGGCCCTGTTGTAGTTCCACTTAGTGTTAAACTAACCAATTGTCAGCATTCATTGATCCTGAGATTTCAAAGAATAACACTTCCTAGTAAGATTTGTGTTCTAGTCAAAACAAACTATTGAACATTCACTGATTGAAACGTCTCTTCTTTTTTCATGATAGCTTTTATCCACCATCTTCAATCAGAAACTTTTAATATTATATAGGCCTAGAACACTTTTTTAAACTTAGTGTTTAGTACTGAAAAAGAGATACATCTACACAGGCATTTTAAATTTCAAAAAGATATAATGTTGAAAGAGCAAACTCAGTATTATACCTGGAGGATTTGACTGGCCTCGAAGGCAGTTCCTGGCAGAAGCACTACTGGACTGGACACATGGCCAGCCTCTACACACACCATGTTGGGGAACTCATCATCTCCAAAGTCACTGAGCTCCTTGCTCTGGTCCACCCAGGGGTTCCATATCACTACAACAACAATCACTGTTACATCAGGGTCCCCACTTAAACAACAAAATTAGATTCTCAGTTTATCACAATTTTTACATGGTGAAATGTGCATATATTTTGTGACATTGATAAGGGTCAAGAATCTTTGGCCAGATACAGGCAAATTGCAACAAATCGTATGGGGCAGTAGTGTAGGGTCACCTAGCCAAGCCTAGCCCAAACACTTGGAACACCAAGTCAGAAAATTTAAGCTGAAATAAGAAGGAAGATGATGTGCATGCTCCCGAAACTGTAGATGTTCACAATTTAGCTTCGAAAAGCAGAAGACGACGATCCCGCTAGGACCACGGGAGATGGTCTTAATTTAGCTGCCAAAGCGGAAGTTAGTGCTGCGATTTTTGAGATGGATGTCTTGGGATGTTATAGCGATCTTGAAAACTGTACAGTTTGATCATATACTGCACTGCAATCGCAATATATGATCATGATTTCACTATGACCTAGCAGATTCTAGAATCCTTATTGAATCCATAGTCACTGAAGCATCAAGAATTGACAAACTTGATATCACCGATACAAAATGTTTTTAGGGATAAATTCTGCTCATCTTAATTATTAAGTATTTATAATGGTTTAAATACCTGCATTCAGTAATCCATTATGCTGCTTGTGGCAACTATAGTTTCGGTTCACAGGGAACCATCTTCAGGCCGTACAAGGCGTCGTTATTCACTTCCATATATGAAGGTAGTCATAAGTACATAGAACACGAACACACGAAAACACACATTGACACGAATATTTAACATTAAAAATACCGAGTACTCGGGAACACGAGACAGGTGACGCGACCGGGTGGAAGTTGTAGCTCGAACTCAAAGTTTCGAGTTACTCGAACTACAGAGTTCGAGCTACAACTTCCACCCGGTCGCGTCACCTGTCTCGTGTTCCCGAGTACTCGGTATTTTTAATGTTAAATATTCGTGTCAATGTGTGTTTTCGTGTGTTCGTGTTCTATGTACTTATGACGACCTTCATATATGGAAGTGAATAACGACGCCTTGTACGGCCTGAAGATGGTTCCCTGTGAACCGAAACTATAGTTGCCACAAGCAGCATAATGGATTACTGAATGCAGGTATTTAAACCATTATAAATATTCAAACGTAATCCGGAGGCTAACAACTCTTAAAAATTAATTATTAAGGTTTAACAGTGAAGCAATTAAAGGTCTTAAGGTTTTCTTACGGTAGAGTGAGTATCCAGTACATGTTTGACGTACAGAAACATTCCATGACTGGACACATTGCTACACAAACCTGGTTGGAATCTTGTCATCTCCGATGTCACTGTGTTTTTTTTATTCCATTATTACTAAAACATAATTTGGACTATTGAATTGACTATTGAAAAAAAAAACATTCTCAATAATGTAGGAGGGTCATTTGTTTTTAATTTGTTTATCAGTGGCTATATGCAAATTGTCTAAATAACATAATACGTAAAAAAAGCTTTTTTAGAATGAGTGCCAATCATTCTATAGAAAATCATCAAAGACATAAAATTCCAAGTAAAGAGCCTTATTTATTTATTTATTTATTTATTTATTTCCCAACGGATTGCACCTTTTTACAAAATATGTGTATACAATTTAGATGGCATTTGCAATTACTATCTAGAAAAGTAATAACAATGGTAATAACAAAGTGATAATAAATAGTAATGGAAAGTAATAACAAATAGTGATAACAATAGTAATAACAAATAGTGTAACAATAGTAGTAACAAAGTAATAACAAATATTAATAACAGAAGAATAAACTAAAAAGAGTATCAACAAAGAACATGAACAGCAAGTTTAAGCGATGAGAAGACAAATGTGCAGATGTGCTGGAGTGTGGTTGCTCAAGTGATCAGGGAGACCTTCTTTTTGAACCGGAGGGGCTTCTCGCCGAAGAAATCCAGTTGAGCAGCCGCCGTGCTACCAGCCTTGAGTAGACGGCTAATTCCGCTGTTGTAAGAGTAGTAGGCTGGGAGAAAGCGTCTGCTGAATATAGTCCTGGAGCGGGTGCCTCTGGGCGTGGTAATGTCGATACCACTCAGGATGTTGGGACAATCGACAAACCCGTTAACCAGCTTGTAGAGCATGAATATGTCGGCATGATGACGTCGGAGTGACAAAGGCAGAAGATCGAAGGACTTCTCCACATCGTCAACCGGGGTAGTGCGGTAGGTAAAACCAAGTCTCGGTCCAAGCATCCGTATGAAGCGGGTTTGTATGCTCTCCAGTTGGCTGACGTGGTTCTTCTGGAAGGGAGACCAGAGCCTACGTACAACAAAATTATCAGCGACGAGTATTCCTCGGTTGATTCCCAGCATAGATCCTTAAATGAAGACAGCTATTTCAATTTGAAGATAAAGAGAATTTAAGCCTCCTACATTTAGTGACTTACCAGTATCAGGAAAGTTGTATTTCTGTATCCTCATTTTGCGTCCAGAGACAACATTGGTTATTATGTGTTCCTAAAAGAAATACAATTAGATTAGAAAATTAATTGGATTTAATACTGGTTAGTATTCAGGTAAGGTTCAATATTCAATATTCAATGTTCAATGTTCAATATTCAGGTAAGGTACAATTCAGACTATTCTAAATAATAAACAAGTTTTAAGACCTGAAAACTCTCAGTTTATAATTCTAGTTTTATGCGGGATTTAATAAGAGTTACAAACTCTTTTATGACGCGTAGCTTGATATACCATCCATTTCTTCAGCCATCTTTTATCAAAATTGGAACTTGAGATTGAATGGAAATAATCTGAATTTCAAGTTGTCTAAACATACCTGCTATTTCACTACCATAGTGTGATATTAAAAACATTGTTTTTATTCCATTGTTGCTTATAACTAAAACAAACTAATTGTAGCCTCGAAGTATAAGGTGCGAGTCACCTGTTATAATTTGAGATTGCCACAATATTGCACAAATATTTTACAACAATTACAATTATGGCTTTTTTTAGCAATACTAGTTTAGCAAAGCCAACCAAAAATTACCTGTGCTGTGTTTTGGTAGATTCGGTCTGTCCACTCGTTTATGGTAACTGCTTCCCTCCCCTCTTGGTACATGGAGTTTTCTCTGGTCTGTAGAAAATATTTTTGTCATTTTAAAAGCCGTAGGTTTACCAAGTTGAACACTATGTAAACAAATTCACATGCTTGGTTATGTTTAAGTTTTTTTATGTGCAATGACATGATGAAAAAGATGGGGATATTACATCGCCTGGCAGGAATCGTTCCCAAAAGAGATAGCATATGAAAGTAATTAGAAAATTACAATCTGGAGGCATATTGATTCCCAAAAAATGGGCACACATTTAAGACTTTTCCATGAGTGGGTCTATAAAAGATTCTCAACAACCCTTTAAAAAAAAAAAATTTTACTGTGCATGTCAACTTTAGTTGGCATAACAAAAATATGAAATAGGTTTGAGTAGAAAGGGCTTATTGCCTGAGAATAAGGGAGACAAAGTCCATTGACAAAGTAAACATACATATGAACCAATCAAAGAAAGTCAAATGTTTTACCTTGTCAATGAATGTACAGCCATGTAGTCCAGTGATCTGACACCGTCGTACGTCTGGTACCTTGAAGTATGTGTGCAACAACAGGTTGAAACTGAACGTCAGATCCTTGCTGGGGTTGTACACTCCGATGTTGAAATGCAACTCTTTCTCACGTAAAATCAGTCTGTAGGTCAGTCGGAACCTGTACAAAACACACAGCAATGATTATTAAATTAATTCTTTGAAGTTTATTGTTTGTGAGAAGTTTATGTTACTTGATGGATTATTGCAGGCACTTTTAACACCCAGTTTTGATAATTTGGCATCTGGAATCTAATCCCGTTTTCTTGGTACACAAATCCAGCTTAAGCTGGAAAATCACAAAAGAAAATCCTCACAGAGAACTGTATAGTATACAGGATACTTAGAGTACAAAGTAATAAAATACTAATAATTGTGATGAAGAATTTCCACACAAATCCTTATAATAACTGCACATATATTTGGTTACTAATACATTATTTCCATTGACTACACATAAGAATTCTTAGCGTGAATTAACAAATACACTACCGGTACTAATACAGTTTAATTAGGCTCTAAGCAGTCTAGCTCCAAAGATAGAAGACACCCTGGAGCACCGAGAGATCCTTGTGAGGCTATTAATGGACATACAGGATTCTTTAGATAACGTTCCTACAACTGCATAGCAGATGCAGTCAGGAGCAAGGACATTCTTCCGGATATAGCATATTGGATTGTTGATCTTCAATAGCAGAGAAGTCAGCAGAGATTGGCGGTAACTCTGAAAAAATCGTGGCCATCTTGTTCTTATGTGGGGGCTCTGATCGTGGATGACATCTTGAGGGATCCCGAATGCAGGGACATTGACCTTCAAGCTATTGAAGTTGACTGCTTACTGTCAGAGGGAAACGTGCAAACACTGTGAAGAACCTCACCCGGACAAAACTGGGCTAGTCTCCTTCGCAAGGAGAGTAAACCTGCCCCAGAAATTAAAGGAAAAAAGGTGAATACTGTGAAGGAAACAAAGTTCCTAGGAGTCTTCCTCGACCTGAAACTCAAATGCCACCTCGACCATCTTAACCATGCCGAATAATGAATAATGAAGTTTATTTCCCACAAAAAAAAAACACAATAGTTCAGGAACCTTTGGAACCTGTAGAAGAACCTGGGGTCTGTGGGACCATGAAACCATTCCTGACAGCAGTGCTGGAAGCAATCTGAGCATGCTTCTGTTGGGGCAGGAAGTCAAGAAACGTGCTGCCATAACATCCCTCAATATGAGTAGCAGTGGCGAGTTAAATCCTCAATGAGGGACTGGACACTTGTCCATACCAATGGCTTTCCCGGGTTTGGATATCGAACTAAAAAAACAACGCCAGGAATGAGACAGGAGCAACTGGCACAGAGTGACCTCAAGATGGCCAGGGCATGCCTTGTATACTACACAGAGGGAAGTCGAAAGGATAGGAGATCGAGGGTGGGGGGTGTATGGTAACAAACCAATATCTCCCTAGCCCTGGGTAGCACATCAACAGTCTTTCAATCAGTGGTCCTGGCAATTGAGTGCTGTGCAAAAACCATCCTAGACCTGAGCAATACTGATCCTCTCAAACAGCCAAGTCGCAATCAAGGCAATTCTGTCGTATGTGACAGAGTCACAAACAGTAAAGGGGTGCAAAACACCCTCTAAAGCAAGACCACATGAAGTTAAGATTGAGTCAAGAAAGTTGATGCCCTGGCCAGGAAGGGTCCAGATAAACAGCTTACGGGGCCAGAATCCTACTTTGTTACTAATGTTAGTTTGGGAGATACCAAAGTTCATGAAGTTCCAGAAGGCAGAGGCCTGGAGGACTAATACCGGCTTAAGGTCCTCAGAAATACTGATAGACCGTCAAAAAAAGAAATTGAAAGGCATACTGAGCCAAAAAGGGCTAGAATACTTATCCAAGGAAACACTTAAGAACTATTGGAAAGTCACTGACATATCAATGCAGATTCTGCAAAAACAAGGTGGAAAAATCTGTACACTTATAGCTGAACGGTAGGGCACTGACTCAAAGAAAGTTAGAATCTCAGGGAAGGCCACAACTCGAACTAGGAGAGATGAGACGTTTGGGCGTCTTTCAGCTGCTAGACTTTGCCAAAAACCTCAGGCTGCCCACTACAAAAGAGTCAGGCTGGGCAGAGGGGCGCTATAAAAGATCAACAGATCAAAGTAGTTAGGGGTAGGACTACCCCAACCATCCTGCCCCACAAATACAAAATACAATTGTATGCCCAAAAACAGTAAAACAGAAATTGTAAGACCTATAACTGCATTCTAGCCTAGCCTATGAAAATATTTCTGCACGACATCAAATTTCATGAGACCATTTTCAAGCTGTCTACTTTAAAACACACAAGCCAATTAAAGTCCAGATACTTCTAAGAAGGGGTCATGACTGGTATGTTCTTAGATTGTGTCTCAAGAAGCTTTAACCATATTGATATAAAATGCTTAAAAATCATACTAGTCATCATAAAATTAATAATGTTTTTAATTTAATTAATAATTTGCAAAACTTTTCCAAAATTTGGTAATTTACTTTTCTATTCTTTAGGTGCAGTGGTAGAACATTATATGGCTATTGTAGCATTTTATACTTATATGCCAACCCCATACGAAGGATGGGTACTCTGCTAGTACGTTTATAAATTTATCTTATACAGCTGGTTATGCTAGAAGCCTACATAATATATGATTGGCGATTTAATACCTTCAAAGGTAACACCTCCCACCAATTATTTTCACTAAGTACTTTTATAAGTAAAGTATCCAAGATCACGAACCCCAATAGTTCCTAACAGTTCTACTCAAATTGCGCCAAAATGCCAACTGTCTGCTTGTCACCAATCGCATGAAAAAACTCGTATTTGCATTACTTCCACCCGTCCAAAAATCTATCTATTTAAACTCCAAATCCACTAACGAGTATTATCTATTTGTTAGCTAGAATCTAACTGAGTATAAGTTATTTACAGTAAATTTACAAAATTAACGAACATGATTGAAGTTAGCCAAAAAACTAATGAATATCACAAATTGTTAGAATTTCTATTCGTTATTCCCAGCTATGGCTACTGGGACTACTCGGAAAGCAGGAAAGGTTTTCCCATGTCATATCCACAAAGATTTCAGTGCTTTACTTCTTTCTCTCAAAAGCTTTAGGGATTTTTTGCATTATTCCTTTGGTGTAAGTGCTATGATAGTTGTACTGACGGATAGTTCCACATGGAGCGTGTGAACTCATTGTCCATGATAGAGAAGATGGCTTCCACATCTCCACTGGTCAGTCTCTCAGGAGCTTTCTCCAAGTTCCACCTCATGATGCGAGCGAAGCCGTGCTGCGGGCCGAAACTCCACGGGCCGAACTGGGCTGTGAACGTCAGTAATGAAAATGGTTAGTTTTACAAGATCAATACAAACTAAATTTATAAACTGGTATCAATATAAACTATTTTATACTTTCTAGTCCACAAAACAAAGAGTTCATTTAGACCTTTAAAATTAAAGGTTTAACCAAAACAGCTGTTATGCTGAGGCACATTCAAGTTGCCTTTTGATGAATACTCTTCCAATGAAAAGTATAACTTCACTTTGACGTTTTACATAAAGTTAATTCATTTTATACATTGATAGATGCACTTTGATTTAATTCCCAAACATTTATCTTGCCAGTAGTCGGTTTATGCCTTAAGAACCTAAAATAACATCACTGCTTTGATATACTAGCCTAGTAAACATTGAACAAAAATTTTTTACTGATTAAGTCATTACGAAAAAGACTCATGTTACAAATTAACAAGGGTTAAATGGTCAGTGTTTTTACAAAGATTAAAAAAAATTTAAGCACCAAAAGACTAAAATTGTAAAAAAGAACCAAAATTATGGGTTTTGAAGTTGCAAAGTAGACTGATAATTTCCACAATAATTAATATGAGTAAATAACCCATTCATTTCAACAGCAATGTTTACCTAAAATAATGTAGCTTTTAACAAAAACTTAAAAAAGGCAAGATTCGATTTAAAATCAATTATTTGTTATAGGCCTAACAAACAATGTAGTAAAATACTTTAAAGGATTTTAAAATGAAAACTATTAAAAAGTTTATGACAGCATCAAAAGAATCTGAAGATGTTTAAAAAGTCGGTTCATGTAAAAAAGTACTTACGAAACACAAAGGGAATGCCTCCTCGAATAGCTTTCTTGCCATCGAACAAAGCCTGTTTGCTGAAACAAAAACACTCAAATGTAGCCATTTAGTTGAGAAAACATAGCTTAAAAAGGTAACATTTTAGCGAAAGAGTAAAACAATTTCTCAGCACCTGCACAACTTCACAAAAAATACTTTAGGCCTACTTGAAACAACCACAGATAATTCCTTTGGTGAAATATTGTTACTCCAGGTGCTGTACCAATCTGAACAATTACTCAGCCATTAAATGTAAAAATAAAATTATATTTTATACAAAAATTCCCTGATATAAGTTGTAATCTTTGTTTGTAATAACTTAGATTCCATAGCGGTTTTGCAATCTTGCAGTAGGACTAAATCTCTTATGGCAGTCCATGCCAAACTTAAGGGTAAATCTACTTCAATTCATCATAGCCTAAGTCATTATTTCGCCTATTTTTTAATATTAGGCTACATACAATGGTTGTAATGATTTAGATGTTTAAAACTACTATGTTTTTGATTACTTTTCACTCTTACATTGAATATTAGTTCCCCTTTTTCATTTAGACATTCTGTAATGACCAAACGTCTCTATGAGATCATTTTCTTTAAACATTAATATTCAGGAATAAAAGTCTATGGTCACTCTCTAGTAGCCTACTTATAGATAGCATAAATTATTGATATGTACATTTTTTTGCATTTATTAGTAAATACAATCCCAGGATCAAATTTTCACGATCAACAAAAACAAATGTATAAAAAACCATTTAGGTTAATACTTGTAAAAAATGAAATTGATAGCGAGAACAATGATTGGACAGGAAAGAAAAGAGAGATTACATAGTCAAGATTTCTTAGGGTGGGAAGTAAATCCATAGCAAATTTAGATAATGCGAGAAGAAGTAAAAACTGCTCGGTTGGCTAACTTCTGGACCACCTGTGTGGTACACTGTTATAGTGTAGCTATACAGAATAGAAACTAGATATTGTAGTTGAAAACAATATCAGTGATGTAACTAGGGTTTTTAATTCCTCATATTGACTACCCAAAACACTACCAGCTTATACAATGCTATATAATAAACACTATCAAGGTTACAAATAAAAAAATGAATAATAAATTAATGTCTTTCAAAAACGAAAGCAATTTTGATCATAGCTGGAAATAATTATAGACAATTTGTTTAATTTTCCTCAAACTAGTGAATTTTTTGGTTTGTTGGTGGAGCAAAATAAAAAGTATTTAGTTAGCCAGTACTTTTGCAAAATAATGGTAAAAATATAGCTAACGTTTGCTAGATTGTTATATTTGCAAATATTAAATGTACCTACATTCTTGTAATCATTATTAGTAAGCAAATTTTAGAAATGTTTCAGTTTTATATTATTTGCCCACAAAACAATTTTCAACATTTTAAATTCACAAAAGAGGATATCTTCCCAAAGCTTACTTTTTACCTCGCCTTATTAGCATACGATATGGAGAAGGTATTGTGTTAATATTGCTTTAGAATTTATATTTGTAGAAACTGTTCCTGAATATATTGCTGTGGTTGAGACGTTTTTAAGATTCTGAAAATGTCTGTTTGCTTGAGGGTGGTATTTTAATTTCCCAAGGACTAAGCTCTATAAACGAATTTCATAACAGAAAACCATAAACATCATAAACAATATTAAGGTTCCAGATAGGGCTACCATTTTAATAAAAGTTTACAGATAAATGCAAATAAGTGTGAGAAATACATTCTCCAAAACTAACAGAAATACCAACGACAAAGACGGAGGAAATAACAAGATAAAGATAATTTTAACTCTTTATCAGTTACTAAAACTTATTTTCACAAGTATGAAACTATAAATACAATTGACCATTCGATATGCACTATTGTGCACTGTGTAGATGTGCAGATGTGCGTTGTGCGGTGGATAACTAATTAGTCATAATGAGAGTATTGATCGCAGCAGAGCGGGCGGCCCGGCCGCGCACAAAAACGTTTGGCGGCAAAAACGTCGCAGCGGCGGCGAGCTGAGCCGGGCTGCCGCGCTTTTTGTCGACCGTGATGAACGAGCGAACGGAGGGCGCAAAAAGCGCGGGGCAACAAACTCAGCCGCCCCGTGTCGTCTGCTGCTTACACTGACACTATAGTCGGTGCACTGGCATAATGTATACTGGTGCTGTATAATACAGCAGTGTAATAATACAATGCAGTATGAATGAATGCAATTTTTTGCTACCGTTATCTAATACGCGAGATTTGCAGAACTATTGGAAACTTGCCTAATAATGAATTTTCTAAATGCAATTGAGAGTGAAGTACACCGATGTATGAATTTGTTAATGTGTTAATCACAAACGGTGTATCTAGAAATCAATGTCGAAAGATTCTATTTTCTACCTAAATAAAGGTTAGGAATATGTGTAACGTACGATGTCCCGTGTATCAGTTACTTATTATTTACATCATATTCGAGTATGCGGTGGTTTTATAGAATTAGTAATATCTATTCGCATCTATCACAAACACGAAACTATAATAATTACTTCTTGAAATGAGTCTTTATTAATAAAAGATAGTATTGTTTAATCTCTAGCCATATTTCGAGATTAGCAATCGTCATTAGATTTCGCGATATTCTCGGCCTATTTCAGAATTGTTTGTTTGTTGTGCATGGTTTTAATCCGATTTATTTAACTTTTTATTTTGTCTGCTGGTAGACTTTAAACTAAGCATGGTTTCATTGTATTGTTAACCAATCTCTGGTGATGATTGTATTTTTATTAATGGAATTATGTATATTAGACATAGCCTATTATGTAATGTTTAATGGCCAAATACAAAATTTGAATTTTAATTAGGCCAACTTTCATTGGGGAAGGCAATAAATATCTTTAAACTTTTAATAAATAATGAACAACTCTATATATTTTTGGGATTTGTTGTACACAAAGATATCGCACTAGCGCTGATATCTAAAGTATGACTACATCGCGGTTTTTAATACTTCAGCCGTTGCTTGTGAGCAAGCCCTTATTGCTGCCTTAATGTTTTTTCCCTACCTTCACATCTTAGGACACTAGGCTAGGTTCTGTTTGATTGGCGGAATTTTAACCCGGTTCCTCGAGCTCCGAAGCCCCAAGCTCTACCACTAGACCACTCAGCTTGTCACTCAGCAACAATTAAACCTGAGAAATACGACCGTACGAAGAGAAGATACATGTATGAATTGCAATTCGATGTATGAGTGATGTCTGTAAATTTACGGTTTCCATCAAGTTCCCGTCGTGGCCCTGCAGACAGCTGATAGGTCTTTGTGTGTACGACCATAGATAAAACATACTAACGATTCAATAGATTTAATTAGAAGGGAAACGTTGAGAATATATTAAACAGAAGAAAATGGTAGCATACAATCTATACTTATTTAATACGCAAGCACGATTTTTGTGACAATTACTCCTCCGAAACTACTGAACCGATTGACATGTTTTTGGTGTCATTGGAAAGAGGGTAACGTGAAGTTGTGCAGGAAACTTTCTTTTTAGGGAAATAATGAGAGATTGAGGCCCTGGAGCCCTTTAAAGTTTCATATTTCTCCATAAGGATAACATGGGAGATTTTTGGTGTCATTGGAAAGAGGGTAACGTGAAGTTGTGCAGGAAACTTTCTTTTTAGGGAAATAATGAGAGATTGAGGCCCTGGAGCCCTTTAAAGTTTCATATTTCTCCATAAGGATAACATGGGAGATAATTTTTATTTACAGAAACATATGTTTGTTACTTGAAAATAGTCAAAGTCTACTACATAATAATTGCTGTGTATTATGACTCTTAATGTATACCTACTACATTTCAATCAAGGATTGTGTACCTTAAAGTTTACCCATAATGGATCTTACTACTTTATTTTAATGCTGGGAATAGTAAGATTTAGTGGAGAATAAGTTAGGTACCATGATTTAAAAACTTTACTATGATAATTTATGTATTTAAATCACAAATCTTTGACATTATTAATTCATTTGAAACTAAACAGCTGATCGACAAATCAAACATATCATCTACTTCATGTGAATAATGTTATTACACAAACATAGTTTTTTTAACCAATATCTTGATTCTTTTTTACTTGTGGGTGTATTTTGAGTTTGCAGTTATGAAAGCACCAAGCCAAGTAACTTTTTTCAAATTTTCTTTATAAACTAACAGTATTAATGAATTACTACATGAACTTGACAAGTCAGGAAATTAATTGTCAGTTTACCAAGGGGAAGAAGAGTGGGTCCTTGAAACAGACGAAGGCGCAGACACCCAGTGGATTGCCAAGACACAGATTAGACTAATAAAAGGGGGCAGTGGTTTTATTGATGAGGAATATCAATACATCAAAAAGGGCCTTATTAATGGCACAAGGCTTTGTGATCAGAATGGTTAACAACTTAAAAGAATGTAAAGTCTTAACTGGAACAAGTGAGTGGGGACATATTTTGATTTCGAGGATAAAAATTTACCCGTCTGAAACAAACTTACCTTTTAAAATGGAAAGATGCTAATTTCTGTTACCTTTGGCATTTGCAGTGCTGTTCTCACCCAGACCAATTTTAGTCATGAGCAACTATATTATATGTTGTTTTAAGTAGGCTACATCTATTAATAGGATAAGCATATTCGTTAAGGAAAACTCTGACCAAGGTAATCTTCCTGAAGGTAACTTTAAGGCTAAAATCGTAGTATTCATGGAAGTGCTTTTGTGATAAAAATATTTTTTTTAGTGTTTGTTTTCTTCAAGCAGCATTTTTATGACCCTCAAAATATGCTACATAGGCCTATTGGTTTGATATGATAAAATGTTTTTTTTTTTAAATGTGTTATAAAATCTTTAAAACATAACTACCCTATAACCTTGCTCGCTGCCTATAACATACTTGAACTTGAACACTTATTAATTTACTAAATATAATACACATACAGCTAGAAAATGGCTGGACAGCTTCCCTTCCAAGGCTTCATTATTATTGTACTGTATTTAATTTTCGACGTCGAGTCAATATA